TGCTAAGTAACTTGGATGTAAATTAAAAAAATAAATTAAAAAAATAAAAAAAAATTTATTTAAAGATGTGTTATATACATATACTTTACAACAGAATATTACTCAGCCAACAAAAAGAATGAAATCTTGCCATTTGCAACAACATGAATAAGCTAGAATATATTATGCTAAGTGAAATAAGTCAATCAGAGAAAGACAAATACCATATGATTTCACTCATATGTCAAATTTAAGAAACGTAACAGAGGAACAATGGGGGGCACAGAGAAGAGAGGAAAACAAACTACAAGGGACTCTTAATGACAGAGAACAAACCATGGTTTGACAGAGGGAGATGGTGGGAGATGGGCTAGATGCGTGACGGGTACTAAGGAAGACACTTATGATGAGCACTGGGTGTTGTATGTAAGTGATGAATCACTGAATTCTACTCCTGAAATCAAAATTGCAATGTATTTTAACTAAAATTTACATTTAAAAATGCAAAAATACATACATACATACGTAAATAAATAAGGGAGGATTAGGGGTCTTTTGTTTTTTGTGGGGTTTTTTGGGGAAGACTAGTTTTTAGCCCTATCACCCAAATCCTCCTGGTCCTTCAGCACTTAGTCTAACCTTCAGTGCTGCTTCCTGACATCTCTCATTTTCTGCTCTTCCATTATTTAACTCTTTTATGAAACTTATCATGGAAGGGGCAGCTGGGTGGCTCAGTCAGTTAAGCTTCTGACTTTGGCTCAGGTCCTGATCTCATGGTTCATGGGTTCAAGCCCCACATCAGGATCTCTGCTGTCAGCATAGAGCCCGCTTCAGATCCTCTGTCCCCCTTTCTCTACCCCTCCCCTGCTCACATTTTCTCTCTCAAAAATAAATAAATGTTTAAGAAAAAAACTTATCATGTAAGAGTCTTGTCACAATCACGCTGTAAATTTTTACAAGGTAAAAATAAGAACGATGTTGGATTTTTAAAAAATTTCTCTGAATAACCTGCATAGAATTTTATACAAATTTATTTAACAAATATTGGAGACCTCTGCATAAGTGGTGGCTGACATACTACAAATCACAAATAAAGAACAGTAAGAGTTCTGGTATATGATCAAGAGTCATCATCATCAATTTTTTACATATGCTAGGGCCAAAGTTTCATTTACAAGCCAGTAAAGGCAAATTCAAAAGACAAAAATAGTTCAGTCCTAGATAAGAAAATCAACACTGCAGAACATAGAGATGTTTTCACAACCATGTAATTTTAATAACCAATATCAACAATCATTTAGGGGCTAAAAAATAGAGAAGAGAATTTAGAACAACCTTGGTATCTTACCTAAACTGTAAAAATTTTGAAATATAAGAGGAAACACCACATTATAAGACTAACAAGAGAAGTCAGATTGAGATTGACAGATTAGAGAGAGAAAAAAAAAATAGGAAAGAACAATTGAAAAAGAACAGTTCAGTCACTGACAGCAGCGCCTCTCATGTATCACAATATTCCCACACTATACCATGGTAAGCACCATATAAAAACTAATAACCAACAAACAATATTGGTGGGCTGATTGATCAAAAAATACTACCTTATGTTTAATACAGTTGAAGATCATGATCAGGTGTGTCAATCATTTTAATGTTAACTATTTTTGGTTAAAATTATGTTTCAGTTATTTAGAAAATCCATTTATATATAATACTATAAATAAATTACTAAAATTCCTAACTTAAGTAAATATATTACCAAATAATTAAAAACCACTGAAGTTAAAAAGAGGCTGCAAGTAGTTTAATCACCTTAATAAAAAACAGAAAGACTTAAAAGAACAATGTTGGATGTGTATCCAAAATACACAAAGAAATCTTAAAATTCAAGAGTAAGAAAACTCAATCCAAAAAAAAAAAAAAGGAAAAAACCTGAAGAGACATTTCAGCAAAGAAGAGATACAGATGGCAAATAAGCACATGAAACTATGCTCAACATCACATATCACTGGAAAATTGCAATTTTAAGTAAGATACCGCTACACATTTATTAGAAGGGCTAAAATCTACAACACGGACAATATCCAGTATTGGTGAGGATGTGCAGCAACAAGAACTCTCATTCACTGCTGATGGAAATACAAAATGGTATAGCCGCTTTGAAAGACACTTTCTTATAAAAGTAAACATCTCCTTATGCTCTTTGGTGTTTACCTAAGCACACTGTAAATTTGTGCCCATACAAAAACCTGCACATGAATGTTTACAACTTTATTCATAATTGTCCAAAACAGGAAGCAACCAAGATATCCTCAATAAGTGAGTAAATCAACTGTGGTATGCCCACACAATGGAACATTATTCAGTGATAAAAAGGAATGATCTATCGAGTCACAAAAAGACATAAAGAAACCTAATTTCACATTGCTAAGTGAAAGAAGCCAATCTGAAAAGGCTACATATTGCATGACTCTCAACTATTTGACATTTTGGAAAAGGTAAAACTATGGAGACTTAAAAAAGGTAAGTGACTGTTAAGAATCCGGAAGGAGGAAAAAAGGGGTACTTAAGTGGAGCACAGGCATTTTTTTTAAGGCAGTGAAACTAGTTTATTTGATACTGTAATGGTAGATACATACCACTGTGCATTTGCCAAAACCCATACAAAACAGTATGAAGAGTGAACCCTAATATAAACTATCGACTTTACTTAATAATAATGGATGAATATTGGTTACCAAGCATAAGAAATGTACTACACTAATGCAAGATGTTAACTATAGGGAAAAGTGTGGGTGGGGGAATATGGAGGCATATACGAACTACATACTTTTCACTCAATATTTTGGTCAACCTAAAACTGCTCTTAAAAGTAAATCTGTTAGAAAAACAATAACATGAAATAAGGAAATCTGTTAACTTTAAGAGGATTAACCAAAGCAAATTTAACCTTACACCAAAAACATTTAGACAAAAACCACAAAACAAAAATGAAGTGAAAATTCAAAACAACCCATGCCAGTGTCTTATCAGCCCATGCCTCATCAAATGAGGATTATAAAACACACCTGATGATAGACCTCAGAAGATTCTGATTAGATCAAATAAAAAAATACAGCAAAACAAAATTTACAGACACTGATTCAAAGAAGTACAATACAATCCCATGCTGCAGATTAAAGCAAGTCTACATGGAATATTTCTAATTCACAAAGAAATGTGTGGTTAGTGAACATAAGAGAGACATTTACCCATCCTAGAATCTACTGTCTTAAAAAAACAAAACAAACACACACAAAAACCCACTGCTTTTTAAAGATCCCTGGCTCAAACTGTAGTGCCAACAAATAACAGCATGTCCTAAGAATGGATTATGATACTTCCCTACGTTCTAGTATTTCGTTTGACCTATAGTTACTTTAAAAATAGAAATGTTAAGTCTTTTATAGGCAGGGCAAAGATTCTTTAGGTCAGCACAGACTCCATTCACATACTGATATTACCTGAATGATCTCTCTAGGCACTTCATGTTGTGACTTCTGATGTTTACTATCCTTGGAAATACCATGTGCTTAAGATTAATTCTTAAGCGAGGCAAGTGCCTAGTAATTTCATCATCACTCTTTAGAAGTCATACTGTAGAGCTCCAAATGTAGCCTCCTAACCTGGGATATGTTCTGCCAACCACCTATCTGACAACCACATGAAGCAAGCTAAGACTGAATAATAGATCTCTGAGACAAAGAGATTATTCGATTGATCTTTCACTCAACAAATATTTGCTGAAGGCCTCCTATGTGTTAAGCACTAGTCCAAGTGCTGGGAATATGACCTAGAACAAAATATTAAAATATTTCTGCCCTCATGGTGATTATATTTTTATATGTCTACATGGTCACCATACCATTTCTACTAGGCCCAGCATCCTCCTGATCTTTGGATATGTAGCAAAGGTAACCAGATTGATTGAGTTTATAAAATTATTCTATGTAATTTCAGCATCACTACACATAGTTATTAGTTCTTACCTGGTCCTGTGTTGATAATAACGTAAATAGAGTTTCCAACGCTGCTCTTCGAACTGATGATATAGTGTGATGCAAAAAAGGCCAGACACGTGGAACTAGAACTGTGAGTGACTGCTGAATACTAATAAACAAGACACAAATTAGGCTTACTCATTTTCAGTTGAAATTCTATTGATTCATTTTCTAAATATGTCCTGTAGACCTCATACCTTTTTTGATGAATAAATTCTAAACAGGTAGTATTTTCATATGAATGTTCATTTAACATCCTCATTCAAAACTGTTATTATAGCACCAGAATACCCAGAGCAAATGCAGTCATAAATATCAACATTAAGTTCTATGGTACTAATGCCATGAATTACCTTTGTCAAAGTAGAACTTTCCAATATAGCTGCCCTTTTTTCAATCTGTTCTTAGGAAAATGGAACATGTGTCTTAACTGGTAGGCTACACAAAATCAAGATTAATTTTTTCTTCTTTCCCATGGCTAACCCCAATCAGTAATCATTAGATGCACATAACTTATATTCCCCATTGGGGTCATCTCTGCCACATTATCAAATGAGCAAGAGGTGGCATGGTAGTAGCTTCGAAATCTGTCATCCTGATTTAGCGTTACTAAAGTTAGGAAAACTCAGATTATCTTCCTTCTCACAATTAGAATTTAAATGGAAAAGCAAGCAAAGCCACTTCTAGGCTAACTTGGACCATGGAATTCCTGTCATATCCATGAGTCATTTATAAAAACTACCTTGAATTAGGAAATGATTTAGAAATAGCATTTGAAATATATAACTCTAGAAAAAGGCATGAATAAAAAAGAATATGGCAGGTGTTAACTATATGTTCTTTTGTGGTTACCCTCAGGTCTATATTTTAGCATTATTTTCATCACTTGCAGGTTTGTATGAACATCTCTTCTCACATTTATTTACATGTTTAGTAAATTTACTTACAAAATTATTACACACATGAACAGAGACAAAAAACAGACTCAAACTATGTAAAAGCATGATAACAAGGTCTTGTTAATAGAGTAACTTTTAACTGTTCATGCTCCAAATGACATGCTGCATTTCTTCTTACATAGCTGGAAAGTATCTGCCAAATATCATAATATGTGAAGCAAATTTCCTAACAGGGCAATTTTGAAAAATAAATACATAAAAGCTACATTATTTCACACATTATTGTATTTCATACATTATTTCTGAATTAACAGAATTTTTACTACTTCTTTCATTTCCTTACATTATCTAGCTTTCCTGACACTACTCAAAGTTTGTTTGTTTGTTTGTTTTTTAAGTCCTAAACCCTTTATTTAGGACAGTGGTTAACACAGGCTCACAATCCAAACCCACATCACCCTGTTTTTAAATAAAGGTTTACTGGAACACAGCCATATTCATTCCTTATGCGTTGTCTATGGCTACTATTGAGCTACAATGGCAAAGTTGAGTAGTTTTGACAATGACCATATAACCCACAAAACCAAAAATACCACTATCTGGGCTTTCACAGAAAAAGTTTACCAACTTCTGATTTAGGGTAATTAAAAACTCTTGCATTCTGCAGCTTGAGAAGGGCTTTCACACAGATGAACACATTTAATCCCTATAATTTTCACTACTAATTGAAATACCTGAATATTAGGAAATCCCATAAATGCACTACCAATTTTTCTCTTCGTTTGCTTTTACAGGCATTTATTTTGCAATTCCAACTTGTAGGTTGTCCTACTGCCCTAAATTTACCCCTGAAGTACTCTCAGCAGGGCCAGTATTACTTGAAACGTTCTGAACATGTTTTTAATACACCTATGATTTTCATTAGAAATAGACTTACAGAGCCAGAAATCATTTATAATCATGAGCATATGCACATTCACTAAACATCCTCTCTAGGTTAAGAACAGTAATTAATTTTCTCATCTGTGATTTTTAAAGTTGCATGTGAATTTTTTCTTCTGTATCTCCAAAGAAACTATTAATAGAAATAGTATTATTCAGGAGGCAATCTAAAAGGTAGGGAATACATTAATTAGCTGAACTTTATCTCAAGTATCAGGACAGGAAAATAGGTGACACTTTTTGATTTATGTTTTTGGCTTCACTCAACCTCTGTCTTTGGACATTATTCTGCATTATTATGTATTATTCCCTTCCTGATAATTACTGAAATCAAGACCAAGAGTTGAAATGAACATTACAAAGAAAAAGTTCACTGAGGAGCAAATTTTGGAAAATGTAATGCTGATGTTCAATGATAATTCTATTAGCTAAATGTCTCTAAAGCTAATGTTCTGTATTCGGACTGGATATGAAAATAATATGCAATGATTAAATTCTTGAAGTTAACTATCACAGGATGAACAAAATGAAGAATTATATAACCAAAGTACCCCAAGGATAAACATGACCTTTTTAAGCTCCTGCCCCAACTATGCTGGTGGCTAGAGAGTAAAGAAAAGGCCAATTTGAAAATAGTAGTCTTTGGCATTGCCAACTCACTTTAAGTGCTGTACTTAAAGATGCCAAACTATTTTATTTTTAGGATTATCTGGAAATGTACGTAAACATATTTTACTTTACTAACTACAAATAATTACCTGCATTGTTGGACCTGAGGATAAGTTAATAAGGATGAAAGAAGAGTCATAATACTATTTGTTGAAGCAGTAAGATCATCTAGTTCCAGAAGAGCATCCCATAGTGTATTTATAATGAATGGTACCTACAGGATCAGTTATTAAGAAAACAGTTATTTTACATGATATACTCACAAGTCATGCAAAATTGTAGTCACTACTGATTCAAAAACATATACAATCCCCATGCCCTTGGATAGTGTCAGTTTTGAGCAAAATTAAAGAGGAGACATTATTTGCCTTTAGTAATTCTCTACCCCTCTTTAAATGCCACTCAACTCTACTTTGGCACTTCCCTTCATACCCAGGCTTATAACGGGAGGGAGAATTCAGGAAATAAGATAGCCAATACTCTTATTTTATGTAAAAAACTAAAATTGGAAAACAATATAGTGTACATACACCAGACATGACCTTCTCTGTAAACTAAGATACTTAAAACGACACTAGTCATCATGAAAAGATAAATTTAGTTTTTGAGTTTTTAAATAAATACTGCTTGCTGCACTTCCAAATGCTGTATACATGTTATGGTTTTGATAATAAAAAAGAAAGACCTTAAAAGAGGCATTTCAAAAAATGAGACCAGATTAAAACAACTTAAAGCCAAAACCAAAATCAAAACAAACACAAATCCCATATGTCTAAAAACCAGGAGTAAAATAAAGAAGAAATGGTTGCTTTCTTCTCAAGTAAGTTACTTATATACTCTGTACACAAAGGGGAAGTAGATTAATAGACAAAATTCACTATTCCAAGGATAATATATAATTAAGATTGTATATGTCAGAGGACTATCTGTTATATGAAAAATGGGAGGACAGGATGTCTGGCTGGCTGAGCATGTGACTCTCAATCTTGAGGTTCTAAATTCAAGCTCCACATTGAATGCAGAGATTACTTCAAAATAAAATCTTCAGTATGGAAACCAATTTGACAATAAATTTCATATTAAAAAAATAAATACATAAATAAATAAAATCTTTTAAAAAATTGGAGAATGAAGGAGAAAAAAATACTGAATGTTTTTCCTAATACTCTATACCCAAGTGTAAACAAGCTCTATAGAAGAAAATGCAAAAATATTTAATTTACCTTCTGTGTCTGAAGGTCTACAAGGCTTTCTACCACAGGTACTAGTGACGCTGCAGCAACAGCTCTGACATCATCATCAAAGTCCTGAAGTCCTTCAATTATTCTAGTTAAAACTTTAGGCAATAAAGTATTAATTACATCCTGTAAAACAGTACATCAAAACGGATTAATTTTCTGTAATGCAATTATTGTGCTTAAAATTTGTTTTATTAAATTTACCATATGAAAGCACAAGTCCCAATCTTTTTTTAAGTTTACGTATTTATTTAAGTAATCTCTATACCCAACGTGGGGCTCAAACTCATGACCCCAGGATCAAGAGTCACATGTTCTTCAACTGAACCAGCCCCGTGCCCCAAAAATCCCAACCTTTAGGGGCACCTGGGTGGTTCAGTCAGTTAAGCATCTGACTTCGGCTCAGGTCATGATCTCGCGGTTCTTGAGTTTGAGCCCCGCATTGGGCTCCATGCTGACAGCTCAGAAGTTGGAGCCTGCTTCAGATACTGTGTCTCCCTTACTCTCTGCCTCTTCCCCGCTCACACTCACTCTCTCTCGCTCTCTTTCTCTCTCAAAAATAAATAAAACATTTTTTTTAAAAGTCCCAATCTTTATTAAAAAAGAATCACATAAACAAAAAAGAAAAATAACAACAGAAGTCTATTTGTAACTAATCCCATTTGAAAAACCACAACAGTATCAAGTATCTATTAAATGTGACTTAAAACATCAGATGTTTTCGAGGTAAAACTATGAACTCCCTGTGTGAACACATACAGATACATACCGCTATGCTGGACCCTCAATTTCTATTTCTTATTCAACACTAATGACAACCAAAAGGGGTGTGAGAGAAAAGGGCAGGAAAAGCTCTCCTTACTTCCCGCTCTCCATACTTCAATCTATTCTCCTTTCAACCTCCCTAAATAGAGCCAGCCCCCAGAGTCTATTTCTGGGATCATACACAAGGAATCACCCTGAGAATCGGTCTTCCTATGAAACAGGAACAAGTATTCAAACCTAATGAACCATCTTTTGATTTGTACTTAAATTCTTACAGTACCACCTATCTCTAAGATACTACCTCAAGAAGGCAAATCTTGAAATGCTGGCTCATCTGTAACACTAAGAATCTAAGGTCATTTCATACAATAAAAATAAGAGGGAAAAAACCTCTCCCATACATGCTTCAAAACCTGAAGTGTTTACCTGACGAACTGCCAAAGCATACTTTATTCCTAGCAGACCACCATGTCTAACTTCCCATTGTTCTTGAGTAAGTAATTTAAGAAGCACATCCACAGTCTTATGAACTCCTGTTTCATTCATGTGTTTTAACACCACACCTAATGTCTGAGCACAAGTTTCACGAACTGGTGCCACAACCTATGAATAAGAAAGGAAGAAAACTCATTTACAAAAAAACGTATTTTGTTGAATTTGAAATCTGATCGGACAAAGCCTCCCTTAGGTGATACTTACTTCATCAGAAACAAAGTCTCCAAATCTGTCTAATGCAAAAACACAAAGGAGTCTAATAACTAAGTCTTCCAACCACTCTTGATGCTGCTGAATCATCTGTTAAAACAATCATTTTTAATTACCAAAATCATACTTTGTATTGGGGGTTGGGGACACATTAAGTCCAAAATCAAAACTAAAATATTGGGACAGACAGGTTTTGCTGTAGGAACAACAACCAAAATACAGAAAAGTTCCAATTACTACCTTTAATATTAACCACATCGTGTTTATTGATTAATTAGGTTCAAATAGACTACATACACCAAGATCTTTAAGATTCATGAATTCTATTATGTTACTTGCACTCTAAGAGAAATTAAGAAACTACTAAAGGTTGCTCTAATTTCAATTATATCTGTCATGTATCTATTATCTATCCTATTACCTGTGTCTCATGCTACACCAGTCATATTGCTCAATGACCTCTAAACTATCTTCTTACACCTCCTACTCTACTTTCCAATTTTTTGTATCTTGCTCTTATATATTTTTCCACTCAATGTTTCTGAACAAATCTTTCCCATGAACTCATTCTTTCTGTTAGTAAATAGACTTCCTCCTGACCTTTAAACATTTTTCCTCATATTTACCTTTCTATATTTATTTGTTTCTCATTTCTATGTCATGGCACAACTCTGTAACTTCCCTGTCTTGAGAAAAGAAGCAAACTACTAAAATCTGTTGATAACTGATCCTTTACTACACCCACCTCTTCTAAAGTGCTATCTCCCATTTTACCACCACTTTTTCCATGAGCTTTAAGGATTTCCCGAAGTCCAGTGCCTGCACCATGCCGAACCTAAAAACAAACAAGACGCAAATGTCAAAGGTTAAATGCTTAAGAAACTGAGTTTAACTTTTCTTCAATATGAAAAAGGGATTCTAGATTTTTAAGAAATCAGAATAAACTAAAGTGGCACTTCAAAAAAACGTGTTCTTCTGCTATCCAAGAAAAATTACATGCATTAGTTTCACAATTTTGGTTATGTCGAATTTTTCTAAAATCAAACTAGGAAAATAACTACCCTAACATCCTTCTGAGATATTAATCTATTTGGCTATGATTTCCCTACCTTTTACCTGCAGTTAGCATTATCCCCAGCAAAAGTGAGGAAAGAATCATGTTGTTCCCTATAGCTCCAACATCAATATTTTAGAAATATATATATTAAAACTAAGTTCCAAAGATACCAGTATAAACGTGAAAGGAAGACAATTCAACTGTCTCATGACTAATGCTTCACTGTCACCCTATAGCATTCTGAAGCATCATCTGGAAGGGAGGAAACAGACCACTGGCACCTCACCCACCTACTTACTTATTCAAGACCCAATTTAAGTTAACACTTGAATAACTTTAAACAGATGTACATCAAGGAGCAGAAAGACCACTAAAAGGTATTCCACAGCAGTGGTTTTAAATTACCCAGAAGCCAACCGAAGTAGGACAGAATGCTTTGAGACCACCAACCCTCAACTTCAATCAGAGGAACCTCACTTTCATCTCTTTTAACATGCTGGGAGATAATCAAGATTTTCTCTGAAGAAATATTTCTGAGACTAAAAAGCTGGTTTGGAAACTATTACTCTTAATCAAATTGTCCTCTTAAAAAGGAAGTTTTTACTATTTGGTAGAGATACGCAAGTCTTTATACCACAGCTAAAAAAATGAAAAGAAACTAATAGTTCTCTAAAGATATATGATCAAAAAGGGTATGAAAGGTGAAAATCAGTCTAAAGTTTTCCACTTAGAAGGTGAGTGATATGAAGTGCCCAGATCAGTGGGAAGAATAGGGACCCTAAAAAAAAAATGATGTTTCACATGGTTCCCTTCATTAGCAAAAAAAAAAAAAAAAAAAAAAAAAAAATAGAGCTGAGAGAAGCTGTAATGAAGAAATCTTACCTCCCAGGAAGGATTAAAAAGGTCATTGCAAAGTTCTTCACAAAAGCTTTCTAAAGGCCATTCATTTGTCTGAATAAGAAAAACAGAATTACTACTAATTCAAAAGGTCTGTTTTATGCTAACAATTTAAGTAACTTAATAAAAGTGTATTTATTTGTAGGTCTAGTAAAAATATGCTTTAAAAATTTTAATAATTAAAATTTTTACTAATGAAGTAAAGATACAATAAAATTTCTCTCAATGGATAGATTATTACCCACTGACACATCAGTATGAAAAAATTATAAACAATTTCAAAAGACACTTTAGGGTATTTCAATAGTACCTCTTCAAGTAAGGAAGAACTGTCTGGAATATTATCAATCAAAACTTTGGAATCATTTGTAGACTGATTGATAACAACATTTGCTATTTTTCGTCTCTTTTCTTCTGGTTCCCCATCAGTGCTATCATTGCTAAAAAATAAAAGTCACCATTTTAAAAAGTGAATAAAGAATAATGTGAACCACAGTGAATGTAAAAGAATACATCATATGAACACTTGTTTTGCCACATTCATGGTTTACTTAAAACTTCGTATATCAAATAAGTAAGATCAACCATGTAAAAAGTTTTGAGCAGAATATATTCCCCTACTCTCACTAATGAATGTAAAATAGGTTCATGAATTCTTGCTTTCAAACTCAATCACAAATTTAACAGTCTTTCTTTCTTCCTCTCTTCAACCAGCTCTTCTCCTTTTCATTTTAAACTCCCTTGGCCTAACAACCTAAATCTGGCCCAGCTTAACTTTTCTAGGCTTTTCTACCCTAGAGGAAACTAATACACTGAGTAACACACTATAGTCCTACTAGCTCTTTAAAAAAAAGAGATAAATGACCAATGAAAAATGTGTCCAGAAAATCTGAAGAAATGTTACTTTATGACTAGAAAAAAAATATTGAGGCTAGCGTAATAATAAAACATAACAAATGAGAAGACAAAACCACTTTATTCAGTATTAACAGAAAGGACAATCAGCACAGTTGAGGTACATACAGCACTATTTTCTAAAATATCCCCCGTATCTTAATAATGTGACTTATTTGGCCAACCATTTTTTCTAAAGGTGATGAAAGAGGGGCACCTAGGTGGCTCAGTTGGTTAAGTGTCCAATTCTTGGTTTCAGCTCAGGTCATGATCTTGTGGTTCATGAGTCTGAGCCCCACATCAGGCTCTTCGGCTTTTCGCTGATAGTGCAGAGCCTGCTTGGGATTCTCTCTCCCCCTCTCTCTGCCTCTCCCCGACTTGTGCTAACTCTTAAAACAGACTTATATAAACAAACAAACAAACAAAAAAATAAATGTGATGAAAGAAATCTAACCTTCCTCAGTCTCATTCTCTATTACTCTTCCCCTAATTCTCTCCAATCTAGAAACACTGGTTGGCCGCCTTACTCTCCTTGAACTTGTTAAGCATTTTTCTCCTTCCAGACATTTGCCCTTATGTTCCCTCTATTTGGAATGTCTTTTCCAAATATTCATAGGACTCGTATCCTCACTCCTTTCAGATCTTTAAAGAAAAGTCACTTCTGTGAATCCCTCCCTGACTATCCTTATCTAAAATTTCAAATTTTCTCCCCACAACACATTTCACATGTTCCTTCCTTGTTTTATCTTTTTCCTACTTAACTCTTATCATTAACATGATATATGCATATATACATATATGTGTGTGTGTATACATACATATATATATTTACTTATCTTTTAATTTTTTTTAATGTTTATTTATTTTTGAGAGAAAGAGACAGAGCACAAGATGGGGAGGGGTAGAGAAAGAGGGAGATACAGAATCTGAAGTAGGCTCCAGGCCCTGACCTGTCAGCACAGAGCCTGATGTGGGGCTT